AAAACTATCAAACAACACTGTTTAAGACACTCTCATGTTCTACGTCATTGCAGGCAATTTTCGCCACCGAGCAAGGAACATCGATACCCGAATACGACTATCTACCCTACTTCTACTCGCGGGCATTCGACCTCTCGTGGCAATTCTACGGTGACAACGTTGGTGACTCTGTACTCTTTGGCGACAGCCAACCGACCTCCGCCACTCACAAGTTCGGGTCTTATTGGGTCAAGGATGGTAAAGTCGTTGGGGCCTTTCTAGAAAGTGGCACTCCCGAAGAGAATAAAGCCATTGCTAAAGTTGCCAGGGCACAACCCCCGGCCGCCAGCCTGGATCAGCTGGCGGCTGAGGGCCTGGCGTTCGCCAGTAAAATTTGAAATCGAAAAATTTGTCGGGATATATTTGTACTGGTAATTCATCCATTTGAATAAACACCAAATGTGTTATTAGGATATGCCTAACTGGTTAGGCCGACATATTTTCTTTTAAAGAATACAGTATACTTATATTACGAAATATTGTACTTATGTTTATGTTGTAATGTTTAATAAAATACACAGAGATTGAGATGGTTAAGTGTGGATTCATGTCTCTGCAATTTTATTCTGTCCCTGATGGTGTTTAGTACAGAAATGTCTGTCTATTGTATCATGACTCACCTCAAATTTGACATTACATTTACATGTGAACATTTCAAAAAATTAAGATATATAAATTAAAATAGAATCTACTATATTACTAGTTATTTGAATCATAAATTCTGCTGTTAGGCTACCTGATGGTTATACAACTATATTTGTTTGAATAAAAAATATATATTTATATTAGAAGATGTCATATTTTATTTACATTGTAGTTTAAAGTATGACATTTAAATATGAAAGTATCTATATTTATTTGTTGGAATAGTATGATAGTCTAAGGCGCCTTAACCACTATACACCTAACAGAAGACCTACATAAACTAATATAACTTAACTTTAATAAGTATGAAAAAATGTATATTTGTTGGAACATTATGACTATCTAAGCCTAATATACATCTAATATACACCTAACATAAGACGACATATACAAATAGAACTTTAACTAGTACAACTACAGACGGATTTAGAAATTTTACTCAGGGGTGACCGATTTTAAATGTTAACGAGCTTGTAATTTAAGCCGAAATCATCATTTCATATAAAAACGACGCACTTACTATAATAAATATAAATATCGATTTGTGTACAGTCGTGATTTTAAAAACTTAAAAACCGTATCACCCTCAAATTTAAAAAAAAAATGAGATTTAAGTATTTATTATTTAAGTTGAACATCAATAGTTTATGAAAAAGTAAGCTTTTTGGTTGAAAATTGGTTTAAATTGAACTTTTGCAGTACATTGCATAACATTTTTGTTGATGAGAGCTTATCAAATAAATATTTTTTTAAGAACAAAATAAATAAATTTAAAATATGTGATTATACAAAGAAAAAAAAAAGTAAAAAATCAACATTCCAAAATGTAAAAGTCCAACTAAATACTGAGTTTTATAAATCACTAAATCGATTTATAATAAGAAACCGAAAGAGTAAAGAATTATAAATATTTTCAAAAACTTATCTAGAAATATAAAATATAAAGATTGTTAGTACATTTTCAATAAATAAATAATATTATTAATTTAAATTTAAATAGCATAGAAAATAAATTTTAATTATTAATATATTGTAAATATTTTTTACATTTTTATACATATTTTATACTATTTTCTTTATATATAATATATATATATATTGATTTAAAAAATAAAAATAAAATCAAGGGGGCCCCTCATACAACTCCGCCCCTGAGTACAACATCTATGATTATACAAGCGCTAGTTAAGAAATTTATGCCGAAACTCTTAAAAAATTGTAAGTGAGGTTTCTTTTATTAAATTTCAAATATTTTTTTAAAAAATTGCATTATTAAAAAATGTAAGAGAATTTCTTTTAATTATTTAAATTTATAATAAATTTTAAAAATTATATTATTATTTATATTTAAGATGAGACTTTCCACTTGTGCAATTTGCCCTTCTTATGTTATAATAATATTTTTAATCCATATATAATGAATTTATAGATAAAATTTAATTGATATATAATTTAATTAATTTTTAGGCAGTATTAAATATTAATAGATAGTTACAGTAAATAAAATTATATTTTTAATCCTTATATAATGAATTTATAGATAAAATTTAATTGATATATAATTTAATTATTTTTAGGCAGTATTAAATATTAATAGATAGTTACAGTAAATAAAATTAATAATTTTAATCATTTTATGTATGCAACACGTAAGATCGAAATGTTCTCTATTTTAATATATCAATTTTCCGTAATTAAAAACATCATAAATGTTCTCATAAATCATAATTATATACCCA